TGTACAACCATTACAAAAGGCATGACCTTTAAAAAAAAAAAATTACAAAAGGCATGACAATAAGTTTTAAGTTTGTTTGCCTTCTAAAACAATTAGCGTTTTTAGTCATTAGTGTGTTTACGATTTCTAAGGTTTTTGCCATTTGAATTCCACTTTTTTATTATATTAATCTACGTAAAGGGAATATCTAAATATAAATGTTATATCAATAAATTCAAAACGAGAATTAATTACAGTTTATGGTTCAATTATAAATTAACTTTTATGTTTTTTCCTTTGGTTTATAAATTTGGTATTACGATCGATGCTAGCGTAGAAAATTTGTGAGAAGAAGAATCTTTAAGTGCGCACAAGAACATACACCAAAATAAACCAACTACTCCATAATGAACCGGTAATTTTCTCTAAAAACCAAATTGAATTTCAATTTTATTTCGTTCTGCAGCATTACATGCGATTCAACTTTTTCGCCGAATTGAATCGAACCATAATTTTATTTAGTGTGTGAGGGTTAAGGCTACCCTAGGGTTAAGGCTCCCCTCTTAGGGTTTAGCGCCTATTAATTTGCTAAAAAATAATTTTATAACATGTTTAGTGTATATTTATGATCCTTTAGCTTCAAATTTAATGTTTAAAATTTTTAAGTTGCTAAAAGTATACATGGTATATCTATAAATTTCAAAAATATATATATAAGTCGTTAGTATAAAATAAATATTTGATCATAACATTTTTTTTATTGTTGTAGTAACAATAACAAAATTATTGTAGTGATTTTCACAATAAACTAAATAAAAATAAAAATTGAGCATTCTTTTTGTTATTGAGCTTATCAGAAATCTAAGCGGAATTTTACACATTTTTTTTTATCAATTTTAGTTGTTATTTTTATTGGTTTTTCGTTCATAATAATTATAAAAAATAAGATTGGACACTTATTTCTTATGAAAATTAAATATTGATCGAAATCACTTTAAAATATTGATAAGCCATTATATGATATAAATGATCATAAAAAGTAATATGAGAATGATAAGTACGACATGACTATAAAACCACCCTCCAAAACTAACCGAACACTACATATACGAGCTAGGTTTTAATCGGCTCATATTTTTGTTTAGTTTGTTAGGGTTAAGACTTCCTTAGGGTTATGGCTCCCCACCCTTAGGGTTTAACTCCTTTTAGTTGCCAAAACAATATTTTTTTGATGAATTTATAATTTGCTAAAAAGTATAAATGGTATATGTATATATTATAAAAAAATATGATTGTAAACTTATTTCTTATGAAAATTAAATATTGATCGAAATCAGTTTAAAATATTGATAAGCGGTCATATGATAAAAATTTTGGTAGAAAAGTAATATGAGAACGGTAAGTGCGACGTAAATATAAAACCACCTTCCAAAACTACCCAACAATACATATACGAGCTATATTTCACGATAGCTGAGCTAAATCGGACCATATTTTTGTTTAATTTGTTAGGGTTGAGGCTTCCCTAGGATTAAAGTTCTCCACCCTTAGGGTTTAGATCCTTTTAGTTTGCAAAAAGAAAAAAAAATTGTGATGAATTTATTTTTTGCTAAAAACTATAAATGGTATATGTATAAATTATAAAAACTATGATTGGAAACTTATTTTTATGAAAACTAAATATTGAGTTGAAATCAGTTTAAAATATTGGTAAGTGGTCATATGATATAAATGCTCGTAGAAAGTAAAATGAGAACGATAAGTGCGACGTTAGTATAAAACCACCCTCTAAAACTAGCCGAACACTACATAGACGGGCTAGATTCCACTATAGCTGAGCTAAATCGGACCATAGTTTAGTTTAGTTTGTTAGGGTTAAAGATTTCATAGGGTTAAGGCTCCCCACCCTTAGGGTTTAGATCCTTTTAGTTTGCAAAAAAAAAAATGTTTTTATGATGAATTTATATTTTGCTAAAAAGTATAAATAGAATATGTATAAATTATAAAAACTATGATTGGAATTTTTTTCTTATGAAAAGTAAATATTGATTGAAATGAATTTAAAATAGTGATCAGCGATCATATGATATAAATGCTGGTAAAATATTATATGAGAACGATAATGCAACATCCCACGCATAACAAAATAACGAACACCCCAAAATTAACTTCGTTCTTTCTCTGACGTTACGTACAAACCAGTTTTATTCACTATGTGAGGGTTAAGGCTCCTCTAGGCTTCTTATAATTAGAATATATACTTTAAGGGGTGTCATCTGACCTCGTTCAAGTGAACGCTTAAAGACGGATCTTCCGTGGCCATCAAGAAACTGATTAGGCTAAGCTGTCAAGGAGATAGAGAGTTTATGCCAGAAATGGAAACTCTAGGGAAGATCAAACACCGAAACCTCGTACCGCTCTTGGGATATTGTAAAATCGGGGAAGAGAGATTGCTTGTCTACGATTTTATGCAATACGGAAGCCTCACGGACCGAGAACAGGCGAAAAACGGAGGATCTTAAACTGGGAAGAGCAGAAAAAGATAGCGAAAGGAGCCATGAAAGTGCTTTGCTTCTTGCACCATAACTGCATCCCTCATATAATCCATCGCGATATGAAATCGAGCAACGTCCTTCTCGATCACGAAATGGAAGCTAGAGTGTCCGATTTCGGAATGGCGAGGCTGATCAGCGCGTTAGACACGCATTTGAGCGTAAGTACCTTGGCAGGCACGCCAGGTTACGTGCCACCGAAGTATTAGCAGAGTTTTAGGTGTACATCGAAAGGCGACGTGTACTCGATCGGAGTCGTGATGCTCGAGATATTGAGCGGGAAAAGACCAACTGATAAAGATGAGTTTGGTGATACAAATCTTGTTGGTTGGTCTAAGATGAAAGCAAGAGAAGGTAAACATATGGAAGTGATTGATGAAGACCTTTTGATTCATAAAGAAGGTTCGGAGACTCTAAATGAAAAAGAAGATTTTGGAGGAGCGATTGTGAAAGAAATGTTGAGATATTTGGAGATAGCGTTACGGTGTGTTGATGATTTTCCATCGAAGCGACCTAATAGGTTTCAAGTTGTTGCTTCTTTAAGAGAGCTTCGTGGAAGTGAAAATAGCAATCAAAGTTACAGTACCTGCTCGAATAATCTTCGTGGAAGTGAAAGAGTTTAGTTTTGAGTGTTTCGGGGGTTTAGGTGTCAAAACATTTTCTAAGATTTATAATTTTAAAATATAGGCTTTATAAATCTAGAATTAGTGACTTTTTTGTAAATGGAAACCCCTAAGTGGCATTCTTGCAAATGTACACACAAAAGTGGTATGTTTGTAATTGCCTCATTATTATTGTGATTTTGGGTGAATAGATTGTCTTGTTTTGGATACATAAATAGTTCACTATTTATGTATATTAATAGTTCACTATGTTAAAAAAATTACGTATGTTGATTAAAATAGTTCACTATTTATGTATAAATAATCAGATATCAACTCATCTATGTTGACTATTTATGTATTAATAGTCAGCTATTGGATAGTTAGCTAATGGATAGTCAACTATTGGATAGTCAGCTATTGGATAGCTAGCTAATAGATAGTCAACTATTGGATAGTCAGCTATAAGATCAAACAATAGTTGACCATGTTGTTGTCGCATCGAATACTATGTAAACAACTATATGAATTGATTTACTACAATAGTTCACTATACTTGTACAAATTTATATTAAATTAACTATAATAGTTCACTACTTATTGTTGAATACAAATTTACTTGCGGTTTTGTTCTCAATAGCCGCATCTATATATCAGAAGGAGATGAATACAAATTTACTTGTGGTTTTGTTCTTAATAGCTGCATCTATATATCA